GACTTCAACTGGTCCAAAATTTGGTGACCAGATTAATAACTGGGGTGAAGAAATTCCAGCACATCTCCCCCACTCTGGCCGCCATTCATTGCTACCGGTTCGTTTCCGCATCGCATTTAAGGTTATGATGATAACATTCAAAGCCCTAAACGGTTTAGGACCTCGGTACATATCAGAACGCCTGCTCCTGGCCAGATCTGTCCATAATACCCATTCTTCACAGAAGTTTCTTGCTCCCAAGACTCCCTTTGAACTGCCACCACCCTGAACTGGAAGCATTGTCTGGGCACGACCTGTTTGATTTTAAACAAAAGGCTGTTTTAGAATTTGTACCACCCTGAACAACAGTGAAGAAATCTAAGAAGGTCAAAAAATGACAAATTCGATATTTCTTAAAGATGGACGCATGGCCGCTAAAATGGTAGCTTTCTGTTGTGTAAATGCGTTATCGGAAACAAACAGAAAGTGCCTACAAACACTATAAACACAATATAGAACTTTTATTTTTGGTAGAATGTTTTTTGGCTAGCTCTTGGTGGGAAAAAGCTTGTTGGCAAGAGTGCCATCTGGTGCCTGTTTGGTCCATCGACCTGTACAGCTTCTTCCTCCACCCGCTTCACACACAAGTAAACTCCACGGCTGGTCCTTGAATCGCCTGGAAATGTTATTTCCAATTTCTCCATCCTTTGTGGGAGGTGAAATGGGAAGGTCAGTTTCCTCCAGTTTCTACAAGGGAAGGATACATTCTCCAGCTGTTTCTCAAAGGATCCGTCACCATGACCCTGTTTCCCCAAAAATAAGACTTGGCCTGAAAATAAGCTCTAGTGTGATTTTTCAGGATGCTCGTAATATAAGCCCTACCCCAAAAGTAAGCCCTAGTTAAGTGAAACCCCGCCTTCCACGCATGTGCAGCCACCAGAAAAAGATGAGATGGCTGTATTTGAATAAATGTAGATGGTTGTACAGTGGTGCCTCGCAAGATGAATTTAATTCGTTCTGCGGTTAATGTTGTCTTGCAAAATGCGTTTTTCCATAGGAATGCATTGAAATGTAATTAATGTGCTCCTATGGGCAAAAAAAGTCAAATTTGGTTTACAAAGGGTTTATTAAGTGCTCTTTAAAGACATACACATTGTGCAGATGATTTTAAAAATTCAGTCAAAAAACTTTAACTTTTTAAACATCATAGAAAAACATTTAAAAATCAGCAAACATGAGGCAGGAACAAAAAACAGAAAACATTCTTCTTGCCATAGGATCATTTGTCTTGCGAGTCATCAACCCCATTGCCAAAACCATTTGTCTTACGAGTTTTTTGTCTTGTGAGGCACTTGTCTTGGAAGGCAGCACTGTATATGAAAAAAAATAAAACATCCCCTGAAAATAAGCCCTAATGCATTTTTTTCGAGCAAAAATTAATATAAGACCCTGTCTGATTTTCGGGGAAACACAGTAGGAGTGGTCATCATAACACGGCTTTGTTCTTCTTTTTTCCACAAAAGGTCTGAGGCAGGTTTCAGCAGGAGCAGCAGCACCTTAGAACAGCATCATCCAGTCCAGCCCCTGTCAAGGAAGCCCAGTGGAGATTCAAACCTGCTACAACTGGCCCCTTGACCACCATGTTGCTCCTGGTTATATGGGGTGGGGGACTGTGTGACCTTGTGGTGTCACTGACAAGAATGGGCAGAAACAACCACAACACATTTTAATAATTTGAAATATTTTTATCCCACCTTTCTCCTTAAAAGGACCCAAGGCAAAACAGCATTTGAAAGCTAAGAACAGTAAGTATACCATTATTAAAAAAAGAATTTGTTCGTTCGTTTAGTCGTTTAGTCGTGTCCGACTCTTCGTGACCCCATGGACCAGAGCATGCCAGGCCCTCCTGTCTTCCACGGCCTCCCAGATTTGGGTCAAATTCATGTTGGTTGCTTCGCAGATACTGTCCATCCATCTCGTCCTCTGTCCTCCTCTTCTCCTCTTGCCTTCACACTTTCCTAACATCAAGGTCTTTTCCAAGGAGTCTTCTCTTCTCATGACCAAAGTATTGGATGGCCAAAGTACTGGAATTAAACAAGTGTTATACTGAAATGGTAAATAAAACCAACATTAAAACACATTTAAAACAATAGAGCACAGCAACCCATTTAAAAGACCTCTCAGACCACCAGTCATTAAGGGGAAGTTTGCCTGAAGAGAAAAGTTTTGGCCTCCTTGCAGAAGGACAGCAAAGAGGGGGCCAGGCTGGCTTCCAGTGGGAGGGAGTTCCAAAGTCTGGGAGCAGCCCTTTCTCCTGTGTCCCCACCAAATGCATGTCTGAAGGTGGTGGGACTGAGAGAAAGGCCTTCCCTGATGATCGTAACACCCAAGAAGGCTTATCAAGGGAGGTGCCATCTTTCTTGGACTTGAGCTGTTGTGGGTTTTGTAGGTCAAATCTAACAGTCTGAATTTTGCCCAGAAACATACATATATGTACATACAAATATTTTTCCACATTGTTTACCATTCTCTTGGATTCTATAGGGTTATTTTCTAAACTGGCATTGCAAACACAGAAAACTTTGCAAAGATCTGAAATTTTAAATCAAGTATAAGATCTACAGCAATAATATTACAAACTACGATGTCCGAATAGGATGCTACTGAAAATTACAAAAACATCCGATCATGACAAGGGTTTCTTTACCCCTACTGCACATCTGAATAGACTTTCTATTCCCAAAACCTGTTGCAGATTTTTAAATTTCTGGTATAAATCCCTTGGTATGCAACAGAAGTACAGAAATCTACAGAAGAGAATAATGACACTTAACCCCAGACAGTCCACCCCTTTCTCATGAACTGGCCCTTAAAATCTCAGTAACTCACTCCGAAACATCTGTCTCATGAACTGGCCCTTAAAATCTCAGTAATTCATTCTGAAACATCTGGAGGTGAAAGAATAAAAACATTCCCATTACTTACAGTTGGGAACAGATCAACAGCAAAGAAGTGTTCAGAGTTTGGCGAATAAAAACATTCCCATTACTTACAGTTGTGGACAGACCAACAGCAAAGAACCGTTAAGAGTTTGGGGGCAGGTGAACTGCAATCACAATTACACTAAAATCCTTGATGTCCCTATTCATGGGAGATGCTCTTTTCTTCAATTGAAGGGAGAGCAAGAACCTCAATCCATACTGAACTCGGAAGTTTGGCATTACATGTGATTCTACCATTTAGAAGTCTACAAAGTATCCAGGAAGTTTCCACTGTAGGCCATAGAATGCAGCCTTGGATTATTAGATAAATGACTCTCTGCTGCCACCTGGCGCCCATGAGGTTATATTAAGAACCGAGACTTGGAAAAGACAATGTATGTAAGGATACCCGGTGTGGTGCGTACTGCAGTGGATAAGAGTGGCGGACTAGGACTCAGGAGGCCTGGGTTCGAATCCCCGCTCAGCTACGGAAGCTCGCTCGGGGTGTGGAACTGGTGAAACCATTCATTAAATATCTCATTTACTGTACCTTGGAAACCCTGTTAGGGCTGCTATAATTTGGTTACAACTTGACGGGCATATACATCAGCAACAAAAACCTTAAAAAGAAGCAGGAAAAGAGGAGAACCTAGGATGAGATGGATCAACCCAATAAAGGAACCCACAACCCTGAGTTTGCAAAAGCTGATCAGGATCGTTAACGGCAAGACATCTTGGAAGTGGCTATTAGCTCTCCTTTAGTCGGAGCTGGGAGTTCTTTTCCCTACTGAGGGCATCGGAATTCATGGTCGAGCCTCTTGACTTCTTGGTCCATTCTGCAGGTTTCAGAAAGCCCGAAGGCTCAATCCCATAGCTGGCTCGTGGTCTGTGCAATGGGAAGCCAATCCCCTCAGATTTGAGGGATGGGGCACCCTCTCTCTTAGTCAACAAGCCACACACCCCCTCGTCCTTGGCAAAATGTCTGGCTTTTATGTTTCATGGGCCTGAACTGGTGCATTCCAGCTGCAAACAGTCCAGCAAAACATCTGTCTACGCTGCCAACTCTGCCTGGGGAAAGAGAAGCTGCAAACGGAGCCCTGGATGCGTGCTTTTTCGTATTGGACATCCAGGTTGTTTGGTCAGCTGTCTGCTTTCAAGGACCACAGCTGCTAAATCTAGCCAGATTTTTTATTTTTTTTATTTTTTAGGCTTTCTCATAACTCCCAAATTTTATCAAATCTGCACTTCTGGAGGGATCTAGAGAACTCAAAAGCTCTCTTTTAACTTTTTAATCATCCAGCAGAGGGATTATTTATTCTATGCATGATCTGCACGGCTAATTTTGACTTTTTAAAAAAAATCATAAGCAAAATGTTATCATCTCAGTACCTTGTGTTTTTTTTTAGAAAGGTGGGACAGAAATTAATTAATTCAGGTGCCAGGAGTTTATTTCTTTGCCTTCAACAGACTAACACCAGATTGTCCCTCTGGAGAGATGTCAAACGGGGCCACCAAGCTGGTGTCAATGAAATACAATAGGGTAGCTCAGTTCTGGCATAAGCTGTGGCTAGATATTATGTATATTTCAAGCTTTAATCATGCTATGTGCCCTGAAGTCAGAACCAATTTATAGCGACCCTAACAGGGAAATATATAAGGAGTGTTTTTTTACCAGTTTCCCCCTTTCCCATGAATTTCCGTGGATGAGCAAGGATTTGAACCCGGATCTCTTGATTCTTAGTCCCTATCCAACACAGCTCGCAAAATCTTGCATTATTCCACATATTATCACTTGCACTGAACGTTTGGCACATTAAATCGCTCCGTTGCAACTATGCCGGTCAGAAACGGTTGCAAGCAGGAAGACTCCCATCTACCACGTGAGCCCCTTTAGACCTGCATTTCTTTCCTCCCTTTCACGTGACTTCTTGGGGGGCGAAAACCTGCAACCCTCCCAGGTGGGGGGGATTTGGGGAGCGATCGCCCAGAAAAGTAAATTTTTTTTTTTTGCAAGCTCTGGTTGCAAACTTCCTCAATAACACTGGTGTTGCGCCTTCGCCGAAAGGGACCCAGAAACCTGCCCTGTGTGTGTGTGTTTGCGTGTCTGTCTGTGGAAACTCTGTGGTTCACACGGCGTGTAATCATCACGTGTCCTTCCAGGTTACAAGGAGAATCTCTCTCTTTCTTTCTCTCTCCCTCGAAACTCCCACGGATCAGGAAGGCAGAAGACCTCGGGCTGTTCCCAGGTAAGGCGGCTTCCAAAAAACGACACCCCAACCCTTGGCGGATCAATACCTGTCTTTCTTTGTTATTTTTTAAAAAGGTTTTTTTAAAAAAATATTTTAAAAAGGCACAAAGCAAAAAACAAAACAAACCCCCCCCCCAAAAAAAATCATGTTTGCTGGCCAGAATGTCTTGGTTTGCAGCCTGGATCAGTTCTGGGCTGTGGCTGGATTTTGCATGCTGCCCCCCCCCCTGAATTTTGCATGCTGGACGG